AGGAGGTTGGATCAGCCATCCAGCGCCCGCATCTCGGCTTACGTACCGGTAGCGGAGGCGCCTTCATGAACAATTAAGCAACGCAGACCTAGCCAACACCTACACATCAGAGACTAGATATGTAGTCGGGTAGATACCCCGCTACCTCAACACCACTAGGGCATGAGGCCTAAGTAACAGGAGGCATCGGCCGCACGGCGTTGCCAGATGCGATTTGGCTGCCGTATGCTCAGCGGCGGTAACCTTGCGTAGTTTTTAGTTTTCCTTTCTCTATTCGCTGTATTTGAGTAGTTTTTGCATAAGGGTACTTGTACGAAATTTCTAACGATAGTTTTAAATACGTCCATTAGGTAAAATGCTTCTTATGTAAATGGGAAATGCATCGAAGTTAAGGTTGTACACATCACACATATACATATATATCATTGTCGATGCGAATTCCGCGATAGCTAAAACCTCTGGCGTAAATATGTAAATAAGAATTTACCTAGTTAACTTGAATTACGTACCGCTTTTGAATTTGCAATGATTTGCCATATATATATGTATATAATGTATTAGGGATATAAATCTTGGAGTATAGCAATAAGTAAACGGCACCACCATGTGCTTAGATTATCTAAAACGATCTTTGAAGGGTTTATTAGAGCGTACCGCGCGTAAGCCTATGAAATAAATGAAAACAAAGAAGTCTTTGTATAACGCCACGAAATGATCGTGTAAATTATTTTTTTTTATGGATCGTCACCGGAGCTACATGATGTTTGAGGGGTATTAGAATATAATCTGATGTCAGATAAGGGGTAATCTAATAGATGTCAAGGTTACCATGGAAGGGTGGGTAAAGAATAGGGGGGCAAACAACGTCCAAGTCTCCCTAACCCTTGATCGATTGGAGATCTGTTCCTGTTGGCGTACCTAAGCAGTGGGTACAGCCGATTACAACAATTTAGGTACATCTTAATAGTTTCAGATAGTGCACTTATTTTCTTGTTTTATGTCGTGGTATAGCGGAAGTAGAAAGAATCCACGCCAATCCGACGAGCACAGCGCAGAGCATCGCTAGAAGTGCACGACCTCTACGACCAGCATACCGAGTGGCGACTTGAGAATCGGTAGGACTCGAGTTGAACGCTACACATGTGTGTTTTCTGCAATTCGGCGGCGAATCGGCTCAATAATTCGGCATGGTACAGCCCTGTGAGCTTTTTGCCCTTCTCCAGGTAGTCGATGTAGATCACACCTTGTGAGTCCCAAAAAAAGGTGGCCATCGCCTTTACGGCCGATGGGACAGTTTACGTCTTCTTCGGAGCAGGTTCGTCGGGTGAAGTCCACTGTTTCGACTGTTCCTTGGTCTCTGGGGTGTACCAGTGGATCCATGTTTCGTCGACGGTCACGAAACGACGCGAAAATCCTTCGGATTGCGCTTAAGAGGCGTCAAACACTGCTGCACTGGTCTCACGGTTGCGTTTGTTGTCCGGAGTGAGCAAACGCGGCACCCATCGCGCCGACAGCTTTCTCATGCCCAAAATTTCATGCAGGATATGACCCACGCGGTCTTTTGACATGCCTACTGTCTTAGCTATCTCGCGTACCTTCAATCGGCGGTCACGTTATCCTCCGTGGTAGGGGCACCGTGGTTCGGGGCACCGACGTGCGACCACGTTGAAACTCGTTAAACCAATTTTGGACGGTCGACATCGAAGGAGAAGAGTCACCGTACAAGACATCCAAGCGCTCATTAATTTCGCTGCGCGATTTCCCTTCCAAAAACAAGAATCGAGTCACAGACCGATATTGCTCTTTCTCCATTTTTCTAAAATCCGCAGACACGTCCTAGTCCACATGCAGTCAAAACAAAACTACGAGTCCGATTCGGCTGAAATTTCGACAGTAGCCGTCTACGAGAATGTACTGCACGATAGTAAAGTTCTCTTGCGATAGTGACGCTATCGGGCGGTGAGGCTAATTACTTATCGGACTGCCCTCGTACATGCCAACTTGTCAGTGTGTGTCTGTGCGGTGTGTTTACTACATGTACCTTTTCTCTTCAACAGCATATTCCGCGTGGGCTGAAAATTGGAAAAAAGGTTCCAAAAAACGATGATTGTTCATCACAAGAAAAATCTACTCATGTTAAAAAAATTGCATAAGTAATATCGTAAATATTATATAAAAAAACGTACAAAAACAAATATAATTACTTTTTTTAAAATAAATTTTTATAAATATAGCATTGGTAAAATAAATATTTTTTTTTCTTAAATAATTATATTTCCTTTTTATCATTCAGAAATTATCAACGGACTGTTAAACAACGCAGAAATACAAACACCATAGGCTTCTAATAAAAGCGAGCGAGCGAAACTATCAGAGGGCTTATACATTAAATTCGATATCTTAAAAACAAACAAGGAAGAACGCTATACTCGAGTACCTCGCCTATTAGATACCCGTTACTCAGCTAAAAGGACCATTGGGAAATGGAGATATGCAAGCAGCAAAGCGAGATTGAAATGCGCCACCTATCCGCGATCTCAATATATGGTTATGTGGGCGGTAAACAGATTTATGCGTTATGGGCGTTGGAGTGGGCATGGCAAACTTTTTTCGAGTCAATCGATAGGTATTGACGAGACGAATGCATTTCAATTAAAATTTGTTTCTAGCATGAAAATTGTGTGCGCCACAGGTTTAGGCGGCTTGTGGGCGTAAGAGTTGGCACGACAAACTTTTTTTAGGTATTGATAAGAACAATACATGTCAGTTACAAGGAGCTACCGCTTTGGGCGATTTGTGGGCGTGGCACTCTGCATAAATAAACATGCGCTCCGCAAGAAGCTCAGAAATCTACATACCAAATTTTAAATATAACGGTCTATTTATTATAGGATATAGTTGTCCGATTAGGCCCGATTAGGCCCGTACTACCTGCAATAGAAATAAGACTTTTAATACAGTTTTATTCCGATTACTTTAGAAATAAGGGATTAGTTTGCGAAGAAACTAGTGATACTGGTCTAGTAATGCTGATCAAGAATATATGTACTTTTTGGGGTCGAAAACGTCTCCTTCACTGCGTTGCAAACTTCTGACTGAAATCATTATACCCTCTGCAAGGTTATAAAAATGTGCAGTTCTTTGGGGGTTTTTGTGCTAGTCTTTTTTTTCGTGATAAGGAAACATTTTTTTGCAGTTTAACTTTCGATGGAGAAACACGGATGTTTAAAAGCATAATCGCAAAATTAAATGAACCTCAATCCGCAAAAAAAAACGTTGGTCTAACTGAAAAAAAATAATGAAAAAATTAAAATAATTTTAGGTTCTTATGAATAACAGTACTAGCAATGGTAAAGACATTTGAGAGTTAGAGGATGTATAACCATTCCCCTGAAGAATTCGCGGGTTAAATGCCAAAGTGGTTTTAAAATGTGCCTAATCTTAAGGCATACCCACAAAAAAATTCATAAATTTTATTTTAGAAATTAAGCTTCCTTAACAAAGTCCCCCAATTTTTTTCCTATTCCGCTTTATGCATTGTCTTCGGATGGCTTGGGGGGCGTCGAGCTGAAGGCTACCGAACGGGTCGCATGTTGCGGATAGCGAGCCTCTGGTTCTGCAGGGTAGCTACGAATAAGCGAGGAAGTTGGACACGGCCCGGCTACCGCTAAGCCCCCAGTCATCGGGTATCTGCGCCGTAGCAGTACCGACGACGCGCTTGTGCTGCCGCCTCCGACAATAGCTACCTCTTCCCTATCCACACAACACTCATCTCACCCCGGGCTGGACTAAGGTGTCACTCGTACCGTGCTGAGAGTCAATCTGGCTGGGAGCCCGAGGCAATAAATAACACAGTCTCAAACGGTGAGCTCAGTCAAGTGTAGACCGCCTGTTCTAAGTCAGCCTTACCAGGGTACAGCGGATCTCTCCCGGGTGGACCTGTCCCTTCTCCGCAGCTCGAGGGATATAACCATGGATAACTTAAATAAAACAAGGAAGAACGGTATAGTCGAGTACCTCGACTATCAGATACCCGTTACTCAGCTAAAGGGACCAAAGGGAAATGGAGATATGCAAGCAGCAAAGCGAGATTAAAATGCGCTACCTACCGGGCGTTAGAGTGGGCGTGGCAAACTTTTGTCTTGGATCAATCGATAGGTATTGACGAGACCAAGTCATTTCAGTTAAAAAAATTTTCTATCTAGCATGAAAATTGTGGGCGTCACAGGTTTGGGCGGTTTGTGGGCTTGGCAAATTTTTTTTTGGGTCAATCGATAGGTATTAATGAGAACAATACATTTCAGTTAACATTTTTATTCTAGCATCAAATCAGTAGGAGCCACAGCTTTGGGCGGTTTGTGGGCGTTAGAAACAAACTTGCGCTGCGTAAAAAGCTCAGGAATCTGCCCGCCAAATCTCAATAGCCTAGCTCTTATAGTTTCCGAGATCTCAGCGTTCCGGACAGACGGACAGACGGACATGGCTAGATCGACTCGGCTAGTGATCCTGATCAAGAATATATACATTTTATGGGGCCGGAAACGCTTCCTTCTGCCTGTTACATACTTTCCGACAAATCTAGTATATCCTTTTACTCTACGAGTAACGGGTATAAAAATGGCTCCAACTACAATATATTGTATATATTGTATTTTACAATACAAAAAAATTATTTTTGTGGGGGCAATAGTTAAAATTTTTTTAAATATAAATGTGTTTTAATTTTCGGGAAATTAAAAAATTTTTGTTTTTAAAAAATGTATTTAATAAGTATAGGTCCGATCGTTACGAGTGATACATCAATCAAAAGGTATCGCAAAAACTAAAAAGGATTGCATACAAAGACTTAAAAAAATCAGTTGGTTTGGGAGAAAGAGCGGTGAAAGTGTATAAGTTAAAATTTAGAAAAATTTATCTGTTGGGGCTGTTGGGGATAAGATGATCAGGTTGGGGGTACAAAAACTAAATTTCAACGTTAACCACAAGTGAAAAGAGAACCGTTTTACTTTGATCTGCAACTGTAACTGAACCTTTATTAGCAGCAGAGAGATTACATGGGGTTGCTTACAGAGGATTAACAGAGTGTAAATATGTAGTCGATTATTAAATGAGATTATGTTTATATTATTGGGTACAAAGAGAGACCAGCTGAGGAAAAGCTTATGTACTGGTCGGCAGCATATGCCTGTGCTTGCTCGAACGTGGGCCGTCGTCGTGAATAATGACCATAGTGTCCGCTCAAATGTTTTCTGATGGCGTTGTCGATTTAGTGCGGGAACGCAGTTCTTGTAGGTAGTCGGGTGACCACCGACGCCAAAATTCCTGCTTAGCTGTGACTACGGCATCAAATCTTTCTAGGTTGGAGACATTTGTGGATGAGATGATTTTCTGTGGAAGCGCGCGAAGAGATCTCCCCACAAGGAAGTTACCCGGAGTAAGTGCTCCAAGGTCGTTGGGATCCGCAGATAGCGGAGACAGCGGGCGCGAATTCAGCATCGCTTCGACTTCTCTGCTGATGGTACAGAGCTCTTCAAATGTAAATCTTGTGTTCATTAGCGTTCTGTAGAGCAGACTCTTCGCGCTCTTCGCGGTCTCCTAATGGACTCCAAAGTGCGCAGTTTTTGGAGGGATGAAATGGAATGTTAAAAATTGGTTGACGAATATGATGAAACAGCTACTTGCGTGGCTTTGTCTTCTTGTAGTTCACGGAGATGATTGGCAGCTCCGACAAAATTAGTTCCATTGTCGCAGATATCCGATGGGCTTAAGCGCCGGACGATCATCCGTTTAAGTGCTGCGAGAAATGCCTTGGTTGACAAATCAGAGTCGACTTCTATGTGCACTGCCTTGGAAGCCAAACAAATAAGGACGGCTAGATAGGACTTTGAGGGAGATGCGTGTTAAATGGTCCGCAGAAGTCGACGCCACACTTCTGGAACGGTTGTTGTGATTGTACTCGTTCTGGTGGCAGCGATCCCATGAGATCGTTCTCCAGTTTAGGCTTAAACCGAACGCACGCCATACAGGAACGCACCACTCGACGAGCGATGTCTCTGGCATTGACGATCCAGTATTCCAAACGGATTAGCGCGGTCAGAGCTTTCGGGCCTGCATGACAATTCCGTAAATGCAAGTGCCGAACATAGATCCAAGTGAAGTGCGCCTTGCTAGGAAGCAGCAGCGGGTGCCGTTTAGTTTCAGGGATATCGGTGTCCTGGAGTCGTCCTCCAACGCTGATGGGGGCATATCCTGAGGAGCTGTCGAGAAATGGAGTTAAATATTTAAAATGACTTGTAAGCGGTTTAGCTTTCTGTAGCGAGCGAAAGTCTTCTCGAATCGACTGTTGCTGAATGTTGTAAACGATGCTGTACGATGCGTGACGGAGTTCGTCTGGGGTAAGCGATGCGTCGACAATTTTACCTCCCCGTGATATTGTTGCAAAGCGAAAGGCATAGGCGATGGTGTGGAGGCAACGAATGTAGGAGCTAATGCGGGTCAAATGTTGGAGAACGTGATTGTTGATCATGGTTTTACAGAATGCGCTTCTTCTTTGCTCTGCCTTGACAACTTCTTAGTTTATATCGATAGTTTCTGGAGACTTTGGTCACTGGGATATCGGTTGGGTCAAGACCGGTGGCCCTGTGAACCACATAGAGGTTGCGAGTTCAGTTGTGGTAGTACCACGTAAGACAATATCCGCCGGGTTGCTTCCACCGGGAACAAATTTCCACTGGCCATCTGCAGTCCAACCTTGAATTTCTGATATGCGGTTACCGACGAATGCTCACAGAGTTACTGAGTGTCTGTTCGTACCCAAAGGTACTCAACATGACCACACCCAACAAATCAAGCAGTAGCCAAGTTGGGAACAGAACCAGGCGCTCAGTAGCACCCACTGCATATGAGAATGGCTGATCAGCATATTATAGGTCTCACTTACTCACCGTCTTACCGACTCAACGGCACACTGACCGGCCAATGCAGTCAGCACATTTTGCAGTGTCTGCCGCGGTTCTACTTCCTACATCTGGGAATAGGGCTCGTAATACACTATCTCAACTAACAGCTAACCACGTTAGCTCACCCTCAGCGCAGCTCTAGCATCGCCTGTGGTCCGGCATCGTAGTAACCATCGTTACCATTGCCGCGACGCGATCGTCCTGCCATCAAAGCGTCCCCGTGCCAGCGACAAGTGCTCATTACCCCCTTGTCCCGCGGTGTGACCAGGAAGTGTCTACTTCGGTTAGGCACAAACAGTGTCGTTTTAGCCAATGGAGAACAATTTGTGCATCCGTCCACAAATATGCCGTGTATTTTCTTTCCGCTAATAAGAGTTTTATCTTTGCATACAGTTGGAAAGGCAAATGTGCTTCGCACAACTCAAATTTCGGAAGAGATTTCTTCTTAGTAGGAGCTACTCTGGTGTTGCCAGTCAGCAAATGAACTGCAGTATTTCATGTCGATGTCTCCGAGCGTAGATACAGGCAGCAACCGTTAGCTCGGATTGATGAGTCGCAGAAACTATAAAGTTGAAGTGTTCGAGGCTTGTGTTGGAGTCAATAGCGGGGAATCGACAATAGGGAGACTGTTTGGAACGACTCGAAAAACTCGGTCCAAGCTGTGTGTATATTCTGTGGTACGCTGTCATCCCAGCACAGGTTAGCGAACCAAAGTTCTTGAAGGAGTATTTTTGCGACGACAATAAGCGGCGAGAGTAGTCTAAGAGGGTCGAACGGGAATAAAATTGTTCTTTTGGTAATGATCGTTGACTGGTTTCTTGCGGTGAACTTAAAGAATAGTGCATGGTGGTTCCAGTTAACGCCGAAAGCGCTAGCTAATTCCTCAACACACGAACTGAGCTCCTTATTAGTGTCAAGATGTAGTTGCCTGTACATTTTAGTCACGTCCGCAGTGATGGTGTAGGAGTTTAGGAGTTTAAGGAGTTACATATACATTTCGTCCTGGAGTGTTGGGCCAATGCATAGCAAGTCGTTCAGCGATGTTGAATTACATTACATTACATTTGACATTATTAAGCTATGGCATATTAAAATCCGTGTTAATTTAGACAATCTATGGGCTTTAATAGTTTAAATATAAGACAGTTTTATGAAAAACTTTAAATCTAAAATCACTAACAAATAATATAAAAATAAAATTAATTGTTTACCTAGTGGTTCCGTAACATTATGAAGCTATGGCATATTAAAAACCGTGTTGATTTAGCCAATCTATGAGCTTTACTAGTTTAAATTCAAGACAGTTTCTGAAAAACTTGGGAAAATTAAAATCAATAACAAATATTATAAAAATAAAATTAAATGTTTACCTAGAGGTTCCACAACATTATTAAACTATTGCATTTTAAATTCCGTGTTAGTTTAGCCAATATATGAGCTATGATAGTTGAAATATAAGTCAGTTTTTGTAAAACTTAGCAACATTAAAATCACTTACAAGTTATATTAAAATTAAATTAAATGATTACCTAGAGGTCTCAGAACATTATTAAGCTATGGCATTTTAAAATTCGTGCTAGTTGAGCCAATATATGAGCTTAGTAGACTCACTAGTGTGTTTGAAAACGCAGTGGTGCGGGATGTAATACTGAGGCTCGTGCAGTTTAGGATGTGTAACCGGGGACATGTGCCCTAATTTCTAGTATTCCTCCATGAAGTCGCAATACTGTTGACGAAGTTTTGATGATTTCCATAGACGACGTTCAATGCTCAGAATCCAGTGGCGCGCTGTATCAAACGAACTTCCCAGACGGCTAGGGTCATCTTTGAAGGGGAGTTTGACAATAATCCTACCGGTGCTGTCGAGGCGCGTACTCATCCTGTACTGCTCCTCACAAATAGAATGCTCCGGCTTCTGAAAATGCAGCGAATCGACAGCCTCCAGTTCCCAAAGACGTTTGAGATTGCGATCAATTGAACTTGCGTTTGTCCTACTGTCAAGGTGTCAAAAAAAGCGTAGGTCCCCAACAACATGGCGTGCCGTGATTGGTACTTCCACGTACGATGAAACTCGAGATTTAATGGATGTGGTGGTGCAATGTTTGATATCAGTTTGTAAATGTCTGAAGCTTCGAATTTGGACTGAATGTCTGTCCCGTCGAAAATGAAGTCGCTGTACGAAATCCTCAGTGATAAAGTTTACAAGGGAGCGGGAATCGAGAAGTGCTCTCCCAAGTCTGTAGTTTCCAAATGCATCCCTCACGAGGACCATCGCAGTTGCGAGTAAAATCTGCGATTTCTGGTCAAGATGCGAATGGGAGTGTGTCGCTGCCTCTAACGATGGTGCTGTTGGAGCCGGTTGGTCCGGGTGAGACAAGTCTAGCGAATGGGTGTTGTACAATAGAGTACGATGTGCTCTGTTACAGGTGCGACAGCGAATTTATGATGGGCAGCTCGATAGTTGGTGACCACTGCATAGGCAGTTAAGGCAGAGGCGGTGTAATTTCACGGCATCAAAACGCTCAAAAGGAATTTAAGCCTTTAAATTTTTCAGATCCAAGCAATCTGTGTGATGGTGTCAAACAATATACACATGATGCGTTGGTTAGCGAGAATTTCGAGTTTTGAGGTCTAGCTGGGGGACGATTTTGTCTTGACCGCTCCGATCCTTGGGGTTGAGCAGAACCAGCCGACAAAAGAAATCGGCAACGTCGACTGGTCCCAGGATTGTACAGTGACGTAGTCCAGTGATTCGTTCCGTTCTATTTTGGTTTTCTCGCACTTTTCCATGATCACGAAGATGAGCATTGCTTGTGATATTTGTGCATGCGATCCTAATGATGAGAGGGAACTATATAAGGCCGATGCATTATCAATTAAACTACGGAGCTGCTGAGCGTTTGACGTGGCAGCAGGCTGCAGCTTAAATATCGCCGCGATCGTTTCGGCGAATATAAGTGCAGGCTTGTCGGAGCGGGTCTTCAGCTTCTCCAAAGCCTTTGAGTAATTCTTTCCAGTGATCGGGAAAGCTCCAATGGTTTCTAGTGCAGGGCCTGCAGACAATTACGGAAATGGTTAAATTTGCCTATGTTAGAGAGTTGCTCACGATTCACAAGTTGAAGAAAAGATTTGATGAAGTTCTTGCAATCCGTATGATTTCCATCGAAGGTAATGCCAATGTTGGCAGTCGAGACGGCGTGCTGAAAGTTGGTGCTGGGGTGTGGTCGAAGACTGTGCTGTGCAATTCCTCTCCGAGAAGGGTTTGAATGGTCAGCTTGGAGGTTACGTAACTGTCCTCCAAGTCCACACGTCCATTATCTGCTGAGTCTAGGCCTTCAATCTCCGACTGAAAGGGCTTGCTTAAAATATAACTCTAATATTCCCAAACGGCACTGAAGTTCAGCTGGCGATTTTTTCTCGTTCTCTTCCTGGGTATCGACCATTCCTTTGATGCGAGTAAGATTTCGCTTAATGTTTGCGCGCTGGCGCTTAAGAGTTTCCAATATATCCGTTGACATTGTTGCGATGAAGGTTTGCGAATGCGGAAACGAGAGCAAGTTGTGGTAACAACGACGAACGAAGACGACGCGGTAAATGTGACAAAGTGGCAGCTCCGGGTGGTAACTCCAAAGCGAAGCAACGAAAACTTAAGACTGTACCAGCAGCGGCAATTGGCGATGTGCAGGCAAGCGAAAACAACAAATCTTTCACAAAAGAATGGAACGAAGAGGACTAAGCGATTGAGCGCGCGGTGCATGCACACACACAAGCGACGAGATGTGTGAAAGAGAGTGGCCAATAGGTCCGTTACTTTTGCAACTGTGTCGTTTGCCGTTGAGAAGTTTGACTATAAGTAATAGACTATTAGTTTTTGTGAATAGTTAATAACTTTAATGTTAAGGTATTTAACTTGCGATGGGCGCGAATGTTGAGTTGAACTGCGATGGCGGTTATGACGATTTTGAATTGTGATGAGCGCATCGAGCGAATGATTTATTGGTGATGTCTAGTTGCAATTGTTTATTGATTAATAACTTGTTAAGTAATTGCTTATACACTTGCCCCACGTTGGGCGCCAAAATGTTTAAAGCAGAAAGCGTTTTTTGTGCTGCATAAGATGATCAGGTTGGGGGTGCATAAACTAAATCTCAAACATTAACCACAAGCGAAAAGAGAACCGTTTTACTTTGATCTGGAACTGCAACTGAACCTTTATTAGCAGCAGAGAGAATACATGGGAATGCTAACAGAGGATTAACACAGTGTAAAATTGTAGTCGATTATTAAATTAGATTATGTTTATATAATTGGCTACAAGGAGAGACCAGCTGATGGAAAGCTCGAGTTTGACCGAAGAAGCACATTAATATAAAGTTTGGATACGAAAAAAAAGTTCAAATTTCAGGCAGTGTTAGATGTTTTGAACTGGCAATAATTGAGGAATCTCAGGGCTAAACGCTTTAAAGTTTAAGCCGAAATCGTTAGAGCCTTTTTGGAAAATCAAAAAAAAAAGGTCGAAATCAAAAATCGTTTGCCCATAACTTTTAAACGATGGTATTTAGACAAACAATGTTAGAAATACATACACAGTATTTAAAAATACCCTTCACAGGTTACGGGTGTACGAGTTTTTCCTGAAGTTATATTAAGCTGTTTAACATCTTGAATTTTCAGGACCCTTAAATAACGTTTAGGAACAAATTGACAAACAAAATAAAACTTTCATTTTAAGAAGTCCCCTGGAATCTTGTTTTGCGTATAGCTTTTGAACGGAGCATCGGTTTTTAACAAATGAGGTATCATTCGACGCATATTGAGTGAGAATACAACTAGACTAATGAAATAATGAATTTATCCGCAACGGCCCCAAAATTTTAACTTTTACACTTTCACCGCCCTATCTCCCGAAATAATTGAATTTTAAAGTCTTGGTATGCAATCCTTTTAGTTTTTGCGATACCTTTAGATATAGGTATCACTCGTTACGATCGGGCTATCCTGGTGCGCTTCGTCACTACGTGGACTGCCGTCCACAGTTATTACATGGTTGTCGGATAGACGGCGTGTTCAGGATTTCTTA